AATGCCGCCCCGAAAGTCAGATGTGGCATTTTTATATAAATAATTAATAAAAATTAATTTTTTTATTAATAAATACCGCGTCTGACTTTCGGGGTGGCATTTTAATATAAAAAATTAATAAAAATTAAATTTTTTATTAATAAATGCCACATCCGTCTTTCAGGCGGCATTTTATATTAAAATTTAATTTTTTTAATAATTAATGCTGCGTCCGACTTTCAGAGTGGCATTTTATTATTAAACATTAATTTTTTAATAATAAATGCCACCTCTGACTTTCGGGACGGCATTTTATTATTAAACAATAATTTTTTTAATAATAAATGCTGCCTCTGACTTTCAGGATGGCATTTTATTATTAAACATTAATAAAATTTAATTTTTTATTAATAAATGTCACCTCTGACTTTCGGGATGGCATTTTGTTATTAAAAATTAATAAAAATTAATTTTTTAATAATAAATGCTGTGTCTGACTTTCAGGCAGCATTTTTTATTACAAATCTAACAAATCGAATTTGAATCCAAATCTGAATCTGACGGATCGAATCTGAATCCAAATCCAAATCTGTCGGATTGAATCAAATCTAAATCCAAATCCGATTGGATCCGACGGATCGAATCAAATTAAAATCCAGATCTGAATCTGATTTGAATCTGATAAATCTGATTCGATCTGATCTGTCAGATCTGGATCAGATTCGGATTGAATCAGATTTTTTGCGAAACACTATCACAAAGGCATTTTTTACTATGTTTTCTTAGTAAAATAACTTCACTGAAGTCACGGAAGTGATTTTTACTATGTTTTCTTAGTAAAATAACGTCTCTGAAAGCCGTAAAAGCGTTTTTTACTATGTTTTTCTTAGTAAAAAAGGCATTTCTGAAGTCACAAAGGCGCTTTTTACTATAGTTTTCTTAGTAAGAATTACTCCTGAAGCTTTGGAGATGGCTTTACTATTGGTTCAAATCAAATCAAATATTTGAATACTTGATTTGAATTTGATTGAATCGAATCAAACATTGATTTAGATTTGATCAAATAAATCATTCTTTGATTTAAATTTGATCAAATCAAATATTCAAATATCAAATCGAATTGCGGAATCCTACTCCTCGTAATGTCAATAGAATCCTTAGAAAAATATATTAATTTTTTGTGATCACGAACCTGCTTATCTTGATTGGAATTAGGTCTACCAGTCTCAAGATAAACAATTTCAAATTCAGCATTTTTTTCTAACTGGGTTACCATTATATAATCAGCTCTTCGGGCAATTTTACGAGAACCTTTTCGTGTGGCATTAGCTAAACTTCCTTCTTCACCTCTTAATTTAGAAGACATATTAATTGAAACAAAATATATGATAGTAGAGTATCTTTCAAATTAAACCTACCATATGTCCCACGCTATTGGTTTTCCTGGTAAATCACTCATCACTATATTTATCAATAGTGCGAGAACTTCACAAACATATGATCCTTTATTTATCAATTTTCACTTCTTTATATATGCTTCGTATTTTAACGATTTCCAAACTTTAAGCCTATAATTATTTATCAGTTAATAAGTCCTATTTTCGAATTCATAAAAAAAAAGAAAATATATCCTGAACAGATTTGCTATCTCTTGCAGATGCATATTATCAAAGGTGAATTTGCACTTATATTGATTCTAATATCCGTTTTACTAAATCTTATAATTTCTCAAATTTATCCAACCATTCGTCATAATTAATATTACCCAAAATCTCATCTATATTAATTTTCGATTTCTCATTCCAGATAAATTCTTTACAAAATTCTATTATATTATGATTCTGTTCTAACTTATATTTTTGAAATGGTTTTTTAAAAATATCATAAACTGATCCTGGTATATCTGTAAAGGGTTCTGACTTGATATCCAGAACGCCTGAACAAATCAGATGATCGAATCCAAGATTCTCCACATTTATTTCCTCAAATTTTATTTTATTCTCTCCCACATGGTTTTCTCATAACTAGTGCTTTCACTTATGCACTGACTAACGTCACGCTTTAGAGATCGTAGATTTGTATTTGCATCTTTATACCAGGCTTCAGTATCAATTACTAATGCTTCCATTTCTGAGAGTAAATATAGATTCTCAAATGCTGTTATGACCTAAGAACGTATTTAAAATTAGTATTTCAAGGTTAGTTTAACAAATGGGTTGTGAGCTAGGAAAATTGGGTTCTGGGATATTTTAACCAAAGTTAAAATTTTTACTTTATATTAATGTTGGATACATTAGCTTTAATTAGTTAAATT